ACTGTGCAGGAGCCCCTGAGACAATAGGCCTCTAGAGCTGAATATGAAAAGTCAGAAATGCTACTGCTTTTCCAAGAATATTATATCATTCTTAAAGTGTTGCCAACTGACTGGCAAGTCAATCTTAAGAGCGACCAGGAAGATGTCCATTGAAATAGTCATACACGAAATGCCAAAGATGCACCACGTAGAATTTTCACTTTCTACTGACTGAAAGGCTTGTTTTACCTCATTAGTTCTAGAATATTTAAGAATCTAAAAATAAAGGGCAACTCTGATTTAACCTCTGCTTGAGTCATTATCTTAAGTAGCATTTCGGGCTTTTACTAAAAAACAGAAGTAAAATGAAAAGGTACACAAAGGTGTCCCGTGTCTGCCTGTGCTGATTCATGAAACTCGATTACACCGAGGCCCTGTGGGAGCGTCCTCCTAACAGACGGAAGTTCAACGGGGCGGCCGGATGGAAGCAGTCCTGAGAAGCAGGTGGGCTGGGGTGAGTAAGCGCTCGCTTCGTCTTCACAGAGCCAGAAAGGAGAGCCACCACGCCAGCTCTTCTTGGCCGTTGGACTCTGATTTCCCAAACAGCTTGTTTTTGGGGTCTCCTCTCCCTCCACACAGCTCTCCACCGCCGTTTCTGAGGCACAGCTGTGGTCTCCTGCAACCTAGAGCTAAGAGGCAGAAACGCTGTCCCTACAGGAGGTGGGCCCACGAGGGCAGCAGGGCCGTCACGCCAGCACCCATGTCTACTCTGGCAAGAGTCATCAGAGAATTCCAAATTAGGTCCCAGCAAGGACCGTGGCTTGGACTGGACGAGAAACTGGCTATCAGATTTTTCAAACCCCCACCTTGGTGGTTTTAACATGCAGCTAGGATTGCAATCAAGAGGCCGAGTAGGTAAGATTCATGTGTTCTCTTTTACTTTCTAAGGAGAGCAGGAGCCTGGGGTCAAGGCCCAGGGTCCTGGCCTGCTGCTGTGGTTGGAAACTGACACATGGCAATAAACATGGCATTCCCCTTGGCCTGTGTAAACTACTGGCTTTGTTCTCCTTTTATGACTTGTGCATAGTTCAGTGATCCCTACTGAAAATATTTTTATAATCTTTGCCCACAAAAGTGCTGAGAAAACCATTAGTAGCCACCCATAGATTGAGGTTTTAATCTCCTACTTAAAAAACTAAAACGGAGGACTGTTGGAGTTGTAGGCAAACGTTTAATACACACATCTGAAAGCATGAGACACAGTCCAGACAGCACGCACTGGAGCTGGTGGGGCACACGGTCGGTGACAGGTGCTTGCTTGTTAGGTATTAATGTCAATAAATACTTTCAGAAAGTGCTGATAAATAACTTAAGTGTTACAAAAACAGATGGTCCACGGTGAGTCCAGGTTGCAGGTACATGCAGGCAGGACTGGGTCAGACGCTCCAGGGCTGGGCTGCACGTGCTCTAGCTGGCCTGAGTCCGACACATCATAGTTGTCCATGTACTTGGCCAGGATCTTCATGAGGGG